CATTAATATCACTCCAGTTATTAATCTCAGTGTTTATTTTTTGCCTATTATTGCCGTTTCAGTGAAAGTTACAAAACAAAAAAGTACATTTTTCAATCATGCATACACATTTTGTTTTCTGTTAATTTCAATCCTTACAGTTTCCACTTTCTCCTTATAATTCTGGTTGTCATTAAGCCTTCTATAGCTCCCCGTGTATTCCTTTTCTTTAGCAATTATTGTGTTGATCCCTCATCTCAGTGCTTAAAATTCTTTCAAGTGTGACATAGTGCCCCAGACCAATTCCCCCATCAGGATGTATGAAGCAGAGTCAGAGTCTCAATGATCTTTATTCACTTTGTACAGTCTTAGCATCTACATTCATATCCCATAGTTACAAAGATTCAGCAGGTTGTTCCTGTGAGGTGCCATCGAGTGGAGCACAACCCTATGAACAACAGATCTGAACCGTGTTCTATCCTGCACCTTCTCACACTTCCTGGCACAAAAGACCCCATTGCAGCAGTCACCCTATCCACCCACCTGGTTGAGGGTCTTCCTCTCCTTCGCCGACCCTCCACCCTTCCCAGCATCATGTCCTTCTCCAAGGAATAGTCCCTCATAGCAACATATCCAAAGTATGAGAGGCAAAGCCTCATCTTTCTTGCCGCTAAGGAGCACTCTGGCTGCACCTTCTCCAAGACATATTCATTTGTTTTCTTGGCCATGCATGGGATGTTCAGTGCCCTTCTCCAACACCGCAGCTAAAAAGTGCCAGTTCTTTTCTGTCATCCTTATTCATTATCCAGATCTCACATAGTAAATAAAAACTCAAAACCCCACTTGGAAGTAGAAATAACAGATTCATAGTTGACCATGGGGTTTCCAAGGCTGAAAAATGCATGAGAGATTGGCCATCTTTCTCTTGTTTGCCACCAGAGTTCCCTATCATTGTTGTGTATCGTCCAGTTGGAGCCTACTCATAGCTGACCTTTCAGTGGGTTTTCAGAGGCTGTAAATCTCATGGAAGGAGACTGCTCATCTTCTGTGATCTGGTGGATTCGATCCATGTGCCTTGAGCTCCCCATTGTGCCTAAGAACTCAATAGCCCTCCAAACCAAAGGGAGCTCTGGTGGCCTAGTGGCAAGAAGGTGCACTGCAATCCCAGAGGTATGCAGCTCGAATCCACCAGATGCTGTGCTGGAGAAGGAGGAGCAATCTCCTTCTGTACCAGTCAGATCCCATTTGACGGTACACACACACACACACATACACCCCAAACCCTCACACAAAAAACCCCCAAACCCTCAAAACTCGTCATTGAGTCAGAACTGACTCATAGCTGACCTAGTGGGTTTCTGGAGGCCATAAATCACAGAGGAGGAGGCCATCTTTCTGCCACGGGGCTGCTGGTGGATTAGAACCACCAGAGAGGGGGCTGTCTTTAGGTTAACAATGCTACTCCTTACTGACCACACCACCTCGGATCAATCACTAGGATGCTACCACTGAACTCAGTGATTTGTGAAATTAATGGAAGAGAAATCAGAGATTCTGAATTCAGGAACCGTGGAAAGGGCTGCAAGGGATCCAGGAACCATCTGACATCTCCGTGGAACCGGTTTTCTCCACCTTGACACTTGATATTTGGGGCCAGGCGATTCTTTCTGCCGGAGCAGTGTGCCCTGGACACTATAGGATGTTTAGAGGTTTCCTCTACCCACTGATGCCAGCAGCCCTTCCCAGATCATGATCATTTTATAAAGACCCAGACGTTGTCAAACAACGACCCCATGCTTGGGGGGAGGGGGATTTTCCTTCCCCAGGGCACCACTTCCATGAAGCTTAGTATGTTAGAGCCTCCCTCCCCCCCAGGGATCTAAGGATCTAAGTGAAATGATTTTCTTAAAAAAGGTCTATGCTTTCCAAAGGGTTCGAGCCAATTACTTTCAGCTTTTCAAAATAATAATGAAAGAACACACATCTTTAGCTGTCGTTGTGGAAGAATTAATAACATCAAGGCGAATCAAAGTTGTGCCATTTGAAAACCGACGACGAAATCTATACGCACTCATTACTTACAGCTCTTTTGAAAGGGCACTTCATAAGCCACCCGGGAATGAGGCCCCTTTTCCCAGATGCTGCCTTGTGAAACGCTCCTCATACAGGAGACGCCAGTGGCACCTGCAAGTGTAGCTCAAAAGTTCTGAAGAGGTTAGACTTAGGACAAGCAGCAAATAAAGGACTCAGTCCACGGGGGGAATCAGAATTAGCTGTTGCTCAGAAAAGAAATCCGATGTGGCTATTGATTGGGAGTAGAGTTGGAAAGAGAAAAGCGACAGGCAATAGTATTGAATTTGAAAAAAGATCCTCACCAGGGCAAGTCTGGGAGAATGTGGCCCGTACTTCCCCTGTCCTGTCTGCGAAGGTGTCTTCCCTGAGCCGGACTGGATCGGACCGAACCCGCGATCCCTGGGCTCGCCCACCCCCACAAGGCCTCCACCAGCCTTGACACCCTTGCAATTCACCTTCCCCAGAGTCCCCACAAGGTTCAGAAGGCCACTTTATCCAGTCTTTACCGCGTCCCTTCCCACGTCTGCAACTCAGGGCGGCAGGAGATCCTCGACTTTGGACCCACCCTGCAGACTCGGAAAGGCGACGTGCAGACGCCGTCGGACTCCCACGGCCCCCGGGGAGGGAGCCCCGAGGAGACCAGAACTTTCCCACTCGGTG